TATGCTAGAAATGATCTTAGGTAGCTAGGATGCTCCCTGAGTCTCACCTTTGACATAAACGTTAGGTGGAATGAACCATAATGATTAAATCATGTACACTTGTAAAACGTAGGTCGATGTATGCTCATTTCCTACGAGTAGCTTTATGTTACTCACCCCTACGATACTGGGGCATATTTCAGGTACATGATACAAGATTGGAGATTGCAATTGCTTGAGTGATTTGCTGAGTTGAGCTTCTTTAGAAGCATTCTTGTTCACATGCAAGTGTTAGCATATTCATTATTTGTCTATAAAATGTAATTTTTCTAACTTGGAGGTCTGACATGTCAAATGTTGTAAATTAGTTGTAATAAGGCCATGGGCCATTGTAGCATGTTTAAAATACCATTTTACACTTATGTGTATGTGCACATCATCACACAATAGCATATAATTTGATCATGCCATGGGGAGTCATTTTGATGCCTTAGGGATGACGTACATCTCTAGTGGTCACTTAGTTTCCTTCGTTTTCGCATTTCGAATCCGTTATCGGGTCATTCTTTTGGTTCATCACAGAACACACTGGGTTGAAAAATCTTGGGTCGTCACATGGAAAGAAGTCCTACATTGTCAGTAGAGTGGAAGATCGTCTCTGCTCAGCACGCACAAGTTCAAGCCTGGAACTGACGTACACCTGAAAAATAGGAGTGGGTCAGACCCATGAACAAGTTCTATCCTACTACAATCCAAGCAGAGACTTGATACGCATGTACATACTAAATAGTTCAACAATATCTAATAATCCGTACATAAATATATCCACACTACTGGACTCTCGCTAGACTATGAAGAGGGTCTCAACCTGAATAGAAGGCATCACACAAAACGCACCTGAGTAGGCATGAGTACTTAAACCTAAACAGGGTATACCTCAACCCTCACAGCCAGCTAAACATCCAACTACATATACACCCCCTAACCATCGACTCTGAGACTCAAGCTCATGTCATGGTAACATAAAAATATATTTAAATTCCGTTCCTAACTATCCACAAGAAATCTAGTAAGTCGTATGGCGTATTCAACCGCATCGACTCATATATTTAAGGAGGATTTTATTTAATAACCCATACCCTTATTACAAAATAGGTAGGAATTTAGCAACTTGTTCTATTCCAATTCTAGTATGACACCATCCCATACTGGTGCATACAATTCCATCCATCTAACAGTTGATAAGGCATTGATAGTTAAATAACGATATCAACAATTCCATACTAAGCATTTTAGAATACATTATCACATATGCTTAAATAAATCCAGCAGTTGATGGAGCATTGACAACATAAATATCAATTTCAACCATTCCATGACAAGCATGAGAACATAATAAATATAATATTTACATGCTTATATAACACCGTTACATAGAAACACATCATAGGAACTAATACTTGACCCCATGAAGCTGTGTTTGTAAATATAAATTTACTTCCCAGTATTCATAATTAACATAGCCTAAATAAATATTATGTTACTTAGTTCCTTAACCTGTATAATAAATTTAGGCAATTTATCATACCTTTTACCTCCTGTTCAACAAAATGATGCATTAAATTTTACAATTTGACCATCAATTAATCTTTAGGAAACTATAGATTGCTAGCATGTATTTCCATTCCACGAATACGTAATTAGCAATGGACAAGCTCTCACAGAAATTCTTATTATAATTAAGAAATATAAATGCCCGAAAACAAACAGGTCTGCAAAGCACATAAGAAAATCCATACAGTTTTAACGATTAAAACTCGGTATTTAAATCTATATTATTCAATCCTCTGGAACTTTAATCCCACTCCAGACCACTGTTAAACCATCCATTACAGTGTTTAATTCTCTTAGAACACTTAGAAATTCCATAACCAAGCACCTGTTTCACTAAAAACCAAAGAAAACCAACAGAACGCAGAAAACTGAGAAAAACAAAAAAATGGAGCAGGATCCAAAAACATGGAGCCGCCTCCATTGGCCTTGGAGCCGGCTCCAAAGGTCTTGGAGCCGCCTCCAAACCAAGAAGAGCCGGCTCTAATCCAAAGAGGAGCCGACTCTCTCCCTCCTTTGCCTCGTTTTCTTCTTCAGTCGTCGTCTACACCTCCGGCACTTCACAGTTTAGGTTACCAGAGATTTTAACTTAGTCCCAGTAGATTCCAACCCTTGTTTCAGTCCTTATTACAATTACTAACAGGGATTCAAATAGAAAACAATGCAATAAATTTTACAATTTAACCAGTTAAACAAGTATAACACGCACTGCTGCAATTTAAATTTTAAAGATGTAAACAGACAACGTTTTTGTTTTAAAACATGTAACTCATTCCTAGAACTATTTACGTATGCAATGAACATGAAGCCTAAGGGAGAGAGTTAAGACAAAACTTGCCTTACACCGACGTTCGTCTCAAATTTCCGATGAATCCTCCGTTTGCTCTCTGTTCTTTCCCAGCCGTCTCCAAAACTTCTCTCAACCTTACAATGTTGTAAGTTTATTCTAAAAACCCTATGTAAACAACTTAGGTGAATATTTATAGGCCACACTAATCATAGGCTCCCTTAAACCCTAATTGCAATTACTCGGCCCATAGAAAACTACGTTAAATTCAATGTCGGCTAACTTTTATACAACCAATCCTACAGTCACGATAAACAGATTAAAGATAATTAAAACGTAACATTGAAACAATAATTAAAACAACAAAGTACCACAAAATAATTAAATAACAATTAAATAATTAATACAATTAAATTAATAAGTAAAATAGTAACGCAAATAAACAAATTAACGACAACCAAATCAATAATTAAAACAAGTACATAAAGTAACAACCATCAAAGCAATTAAACAATTAAATATTTAAAAAATTGCAATTAATAATTAATAAAAATTCCAGGACTATCCTTTGTAAAATTAGGGGTATTACAAGAGTCGGCTATTTATAGCCAAAATTGTGTATCCACAATTGTTGCCTTCAAATCAATATTAACTTCTCTGACTTCTTTCTTCGTTCACGCCATCTTACTATACCTTACTCTGACCACTGTCCACTTTTGTATCAACCCATTTTATATTAACCACTTCTATATCTACTTCACTTTTTCTTCCTTTCTTTGTTGACTTTTCTTTCCTTTATTATCTTTATTTTCTTTTCTTCTTTCTTTTCTTTATTTTCTTTTCTTCTTTCTTTCTCCTCATTTCTCTTTTCTTCACGTGCACATCATTTCATTTCTCTTGCTGACTTTTGTTTTTCTTTTCTTCTTTCTGTCTTCTCATTTCTTCTTCTTCAATGATGATATTGCAAAAGATGATGTGGCAAGTGATTGACCAGGTAGCAAAAATATAACACCATTTTGTTGCACCTTGAATTTGAACTTGAAACCTCTTGAATGATAATTTGCACAACACACCAACTTTCCTACAACGCTCCTTGTGTATATTTTTTGGTTATAAATAAATATAATCTTCCTTTTACAGCCAATTATTCACTTATTTTCCATTTTTGTTTCTTTTCTTCTCATTCATGCATTAACACCTACAAAACACAAAACAAGCATATAAGAATATTTAAAGAATATAAAACTCTAATTAAAAGCTTATTTTGATGCATGAAATAATAGGTTTTGTATACTTATCAATTGTGAAGGGCGTTCGGACGCAAGAAATGCACTAGAAGAGTGTGTCTGGACACAAGGCTGATGCCTTCATATTTGACTTCTCTTTCTTGCTCAGCTTCGTGGGCCTGACTTCATTCTGGTGCCATACATTTGACAACAATGGTTTTACTCCACTATATTTTATCCCCTGTATTTTATTACTATCATAGAAACGTCTATGTTTTGGCTTAATTTTGTGTACATGATTCCCAAATAATTTTTGAATCTCTGAGAACATATCCCTTAGACGTTATGTTATATTGACCAACATAGCATTATGAGACTTCTATATTACACATTTATGTTCTACCGAATTTGTGAAAATAACACTTACCAAAATCTAAAGAAGGCTCCTGCACGACGTGGCTTTGCTTTTTGAGGAGTCCCGACTCTGTCCTGTTTCTACTTACACTTTCCACTCTCTTTTTCAGAGCTCCCAATTCTTTCATTAACATATTCTTCATCAAAATTATCATTTTCCGAAGAAAAAGCCATAGGGTCAGAAGGACAGTAGCTATCATCCTCCGTATCGATATCAGAAGGGGTCACAAATTGGACTTGTTTACCTTTATCTGAGGAATTATGACCACTACGAGTCAACATTGGAGAGGCCAAATAAGAAAAAGAGGGACAAAGCTTCCCGACGGTGAAGATAAAGACGGTGAAGAGAAGGGATCAAACCCTAGAATTTTCAATTGGACACAAGGCGAAAGGAATTTTGGGAAAATCTGGCCAAGCGAAAGTGGTTACAGTGGCTAAATTTGTGTACAATGGCTGAAACTTAGGGATTTTGAGAAGTAGGGAAGATGATTAGTGGCTGAGTTAGGGAATTGGGGAAGGCTTCGGCGTCGAAGAAGAAAGTGAATGAATGTGGTTTGGTGTCCTTTGGTTACTACAGTCGTTGAAACTTAGGGATTTTGAGAAGTGGAGAAGATGAACAGTTTGCTGAGTTAGGGAATTGAGGCATCGAAGGCGAAAGTGAAGTTGAACAAACGTGGGTCTTTGGCTATAGTGGCTAAAATTAGGGATTTTGAGAAAGTTTGACCGGGTTTGAAAACATTTGACCAAGTTTGAGAATGGTTTCAAAACAATTTAGGGTCAAAATTTTCAATATTTGGGTTTAACCGTGGGTGGATGAAACAAAATCAAGCCTTAACCAGGGTTAAGTAAGAGGGTGACGTGGCAAAATCTTGGCCATGAAAATTTTGAATGGCATGGATTGAAGCTACAGTCAAATGGACTGAATCCATGCCCCATCTCAAAGGCCCGCCAATAGCATCCTACTAATGTGATGAATCATCCACCCCACCAAATCACAAACATTGAACCCACTACAATCCTCTCTCATCCCTTTTCTCCGTTTCTTACAATACACTACCGAATTTTTTTATCATATGGAATCAGAACCATTTCTGGCCTCGGAAAAAAGACCCCAGCTCGAAGCTCTTCTCGATTATCATGATGACTTCTCTTTTGTCAGGACTACCTCATCCTCTTCCTCCTTCAATACCCCTGTTGTCTCTCCCTCCAATCCCATGATGTCTCGTAAGATCCACCGCTGCAAGACCGCACCCGCCATCGCCGTCATGCGAGACCTGAAGCCCCAGCATAATCATAATCCCAATTCCCAGTCGTCGTCGGAGGAATCCACTTCCGGCGGCATGGTTAGACAGGCGGCTCTCTTGCTTCTACTCTATCTCTCTCTGGGCGTCCTCATCTATTCTTTCAATCGAGACAATTTCTCCGGCGTCGAGACCCACCCGGTCGTCGACGCCCTCTACTTCTGCATCGTCACCATGTGCACCATCGGCTACGGCGACATCGCACCTCTCACGCCGGCCACTAAGCTCTTCTCTTGCTTCTTCGTGCTGGTGGGTTTTGGGTTCATCGACATATTGTTGAGTGGGGTGGTCAACTATGTCCTTGATTTGCAAGAGAGCATGATCTTGAGGGCTATTCGAAGACCCAAAAATGAAAATCAAAATCAATTTGATGATATTGGATTTGGTCTTGCAAGGAACTACATCGTTGATGTAGAGAAGGGCAGGATGCGAATCAGATTGAAGGTGTGTTTGGCTCTGGGAGTAGTTGTACTCAGTATTGGAATGGGAACACTGGTGTTGTATTTTGTGGAGGATTTGGATTGGATTGATTCGATTTACTTGTCTGTGATGTCAGTTACCACTGTTGGGTATGGAGATAGGGCCTTCAAGACTCTTCCGGGCCGATTGTTCGCCGCAATTTGGCTTCTTTTCTCCACACTGGCTGTGGCAAGAGCCTTTTTGTATTTGGCTGAGGCACGAATTGATAAGAGGCACAGAAGGATTACCAAGTGGGTGTTGCATAGGGACATCACTGTGGAGGACTTGCTTGCAGCTGATATCAATAATAATGGCTTTATCAGGTAGGAATTGCAATTAGTAACTTTTCATTGCTAGCTCTTTCACCATTTCTTATATCACTCACTCAATTTATTCATTGTTCACAAAATATCAAATTAATTTACACTGAATTACCTAGTACTGATGAACTAGGTTTGCAATAATTAGAAAGTATATGATCTGGTATCCAATTGGGGCTTGAGTAGTATTATTAATTGAGCTATGTATAATATATACTATATATATACACAGTAAAAAGGGATAATCTTGATGTTTTTTGTATAGCATTCAGGAAGTATACCTAATATCTGTTTTTAATTTGATGTGATGCAGGACAGTTTTATTATATTTTTATTTATTTATTTTTATTTAATATTTTTTAGTTTAGGTAAATCAATTAGTTTCTTTTGCTATTATTTTTGGGTTAGACTTATATGATTTTATTTATTATAAATACAATGTCGAGAGCAAAATAATCAATCAATTTTATCAATAAAATATCATTCTTTTCCATATCTTGTGGATTTAAGTTAGTCCCGTTTCATTGAACGTTTTATAGTTCTATCGCTTTTCGCTACGTTAGTTGTTAGTTGGTATCAGAGCCTTGTCGGTCTGATGGTGATTGATCGTTTTGGCAGTGACGTGACAGCTATACTAATGAAGTGCCAGCACCTAGATGTGCTTTCAGTCATAAGCAAGACTTCGCCTTTCTAAATTCTAGTGTGAGCTTTAGTTTGATTTCCGCTAACGCACTTTACTAATCAGATAGAAAGCGATTTTCTCGATTGTTTAGTAAAGGGCAGTTTTTGGACTTCTATTGCAGCGCGAGCTTTTGGCAGAGAAAGACTAGACATTCAGGTGAGCCGACCGGGAAGGTTTGGTACCTAGTGGGTTTGCACCGACTAAAAGAGAGGGTAGCCAGTGAAGTTGAACTATAGCGACTTGATGTTGAAGAACAACCATTGGTTCGGATGGAAAGCATGATACTGCAAATCCGACAGAGACTCGCTGAACTTGGGATTAATGACAATCAGCATCATGAACCAGTTCGAGTTCGCGCCGATGATGTTTCTCACGGCCAACTGAATATGATTAACGTTCTTGTACCTTCAAGTGGGCTTCCGGTCTATGCGTAGTTTTCTAGTGTCAACGACTACATTAAAGATGATGGTAATTGGAGCAATCATGGTAATTGGAGCAATCAATGATTCTCACAAAGAGATTGATTGTAAACAAAATTTTATAGTTGCACCTGTTATAGTTGAAGATAGTTTGAAAGAGAGAGACATGGAATCATACGAAGTAACAGATGATGGCAAGGAGTTGTTTAATGAAAGGGGGACAATTTGTGCAACCAAATTAATGATATGGATACAAATTTAAAAGATAAGGATAACAATTCGAAAGAGTTTGAAGATGACAGTGGCAGTTTTATCTATTTTGGAGATCTAATTGAAGCAGGGGAACTCAGTGATGAATCCTTGCGAAACCGGTTGGAGCCTGACATAGCTAGTACGTGGTAACATTGGAGAGATTAATTACTACCACGGATGGTATAGTTAAAAGTTACTGAAGTTACTAGGTGTGTTGTTGATGAGACTAAAGAATCACGTGAGATGAATTTTGGGAGCATATGGCATTGTGCATACAAGAGACAAATGAGTGCAGGTATACGTTGCCATAAAGGACGTAAAGGTTGTCAAAGACAAACCTAATTTGATCACGATACGTTACGGGTCCCACTCCTTCAATCAGGCAAAGATATAGTGGGAAGGAAGTTGATGCTAGTAGGAAGAATATTATATTGTCTTGTACGCTTTTCAATGTGTTTGTGTTTGAGTTTGATGGAAACAATGAAGCATCAACAGGATAAATGTTGCAATATCATTGGCTGAGTTCTTCACGATGTGAACCAATGGACTTCTACCAAATTTATTGGGAGTTGTCTTCAAAGAGATTGAAATTTGTTAGTTGTTCAAGTCGGCAATGGTATAAAATCTTGTTCATACATATAATCCGAATTAAAATTTGAGGGCAAATTTTTTTTTGAAGTGGATGGGACTGGCGTATGACAGTTTTATTATGTTATTTATTTATTTATTTTTATTTTATATTTTTTAGGGAGGATATTATTTAGGATGATCACTTAGTACCCTTAATGTTGTAAAAATTACACCAACCTCTCTTAAATTTAGCTCTGTGGTAACACTTTGCCCTTCCGATGATGTTCAACACCGATCAAGAACACTTTTTGATGATGTCAGCCATTTTTTAGCATGAAATATCATATTTGCCCTTATTATAATTGTAAATACATTTCCACCATTACTTTTGAATTACAAATTACCCAATACCCTCAAAGGCTGTCCCACTTTAATTTTTGTGTGTATACATTGTCCCTCTCTAAACAAGCACAACTCATCTCTCCATATATATTGGGAAAAAAAACTTCTCCATATATAATACATACATACATATATATATATATATATATACTAATTCGTATTTAACAATATATTGTCCCAAATAGGCGACTTCACTTTTTTCTCCATGACTCCCAAGCCATCCACCACAGATGACATCCCTAGCCTCTTCTCCGCCGCCGATCTGACACCACAATAAATCTCCTCTCATTCGAATCAACACCAAACCTTAACAAATTGACCAGACTAGGGTTTTAAATTCTCTATAGAATCTCTATCTCTTTCTCCGCAGGATTGTTGATTGTGTCCAGGGTTGTGGTCCTTTTAACGATGGCGATGAGGCCGTCGTCGATGACGGCTTTGTATACAGAGCCGTGCATGCCTTTGCCGAGAAAGCTATGGAAGGAGAAGCCATTGAAGGATGATTGGAGATCGAGTTAGGAGAACTCTCCTCTTTCTCTATTTCTTGCCCACGATTCTCAAGTAATCCACTATGGCGGACATCTCTGGCCTCTTCTTCGTCGCCGATCTGACACACCGGTATGAACTCCACCACAATTAATAATCCATATATATGTATAGCTTTTATCAGAAGATGTGTGAATTGATGGGAGGGTAGAGAGAAAGAGGAGAGAGAAAAGTAGAAGAGGAGGAGGTCGCGCTGGAGGTGGGAAAGGAGAGCGGTAAAGGCCCTGATGCTGATGCTGATGTTGCTGCCACCTTTGGTGGTGGTGCTACGGCGGGCCAATTGTAGTGGTGGTGGTGCAGGCACTGGTTTTGGTGGGTAAATATTGATATGGAGAGAGAGTATATATATATATATATAGAGGTGGTAGGGAAAGAGTTTGTGGGTAATTTTGTCATTTCATGTTTTGCTAATTTTTTATTTTATAAAATAAGGGTATCTTAGTCATTTAACAAGGATTCTACCGGAATCTAACTCTAGTCACATTTGAGGGAGGTTTCTGTAATTATTGAAACGTTAGAGGTGTTGTCTGTAATTAGGCTTAACCTGGAGGGAGGTAACTGATATTTTCCCATTTTATTTTACATAATTTCTTTATATTTTTTAGTTTACTTAAACCAATTAGTTTCTTTTTACTATTAGTTTCCTTTAGAGTTTTAGGGTTTTATTTATTGAAAATACAATGTACTATGATAACAGAATAATCAATCAATTTTGTCAATAAAATATCATATTTCTCTGTGAATTTTCTTTTCTTCGTGGATTCAAGGTACCTTATCTTTTGGATTCAAGATAACCTCGTTCCATGTGAACATTTTATCACTTTTTGTTATGTCAGTAACTTGGTAGAAACTGATAGTGGGCAGGTAGCAAGGTACATAGGAGGTTTGTGAATGGTGATCCAGGATCAGATCAATATGCACACAATTTGGAGTTTATTAGAAGCTATTAATTTGGCTATGTTGCGGAAATCGATAAAACGTTCACATGGAATGGGGTTCAAGGAAAAGAAAATTCACAGAGGATATTTTATTGATAAAATTGATTGATTATTCTGCTGTCGCAGTACATTGTATTTATAATAAATAAAACTCTAAAACTCTAGAGGAAACTAATAGCAAAAAGAAACTAATTAGTTTAAGTAAACCAAAAAAAATATAATGAAACTATCTAAAATAAAATTCTCCTTAAAAAATATAAAATAAAAATAAATAAATAAAAACATAATAAAATTGTCCTATGTTAGGATGGTAGAACCTCTTTTCTAACGTGAAAAGAAAACACTTCTCTACTAAGTCCATTAAATTATAGAACAATTCACACATCTATTCTACCGATTCAGGATAGATTGAGGTTTGTGTTTGATCATCGGAAGCGCGCGAACACAAAGAACCAACAAAAGCCAATAAAGCAATCACACGAAGACAAGATGTACTTGGTTTATCCAAACTCAAGATACATCCATGGATGAGAAAATATTCTACTATGATTTGTGGAGATATTACAATAATAGAGTATTAACACCACGTACATGTCTTTTCACCATATACCACTCCACGAGCCTATCTCCACAACAGTGCCACCGGCGTTTTTCCTATTCTATCAACCTATAAACTACATCTACCCATCAACTCCCTCATGAGACTACATCTCACTTAATCTCATAAGTCTCAACCCAAAACCTAGGTGTCTATTTATATAGCATTTGTTGGGCAGCGGAAGCGTGCGAATAAATAAAGATCCTATGAAAACCAACAAAGCAATCTCACATAAAGACAAAATATGTAATGATCCGAAATAGATTTATTCTTTCGTAAGTCTACTGTCAAAATAAATTAAACTCTCCAAATAAAATAAGAAAGTCTCCAAAATTTACTAATCATACATTTAATCAAGATTAAAGCTTAATCTGAAACCTAGGGTATTACAAAATATACATGGTTTATCTAAACTCAGTGTTACGTTCATGGATGAGAAGAGATTCCACTATGATTCGTAGAGATATTACAACAATAGAGTATCAACACCACGTATGTCTTTTCACCACGTACCACATTACGAGCCTATCACCTCGCTACCAGTGTCACCGGTGTTTTCCCTACTGTACCAACCTATAAACTACCTCTACTCATCAACTCCTTCATGAGACTACATCTGTCTCAATCTCACAACTCTTAACCCAAAACTTATGTATCTATTTATAGAGTTCCAAACTCAATTCCTTGTTGGGTAAGGATTACTTGCTTGCCAAAAAATTTCCTTACAGAATACAAGTCTAAAATAGAAACCTAATTAGAATAGGAATTTGAGACAATTTCCAGCAGTTTGTTAGGTGGCATAAAAAGAATTGCAGGGTGGAAAAAACCTGGTATAGGAGATGTTTCTACTTCCTAAGTTTTGCCTTTTATGCGGGCAATTCCTGAGTTCATATGCATATAAAGATATTAGCAAAATTCTACCTCACCTTTTCTCTCTTACAGGAACTGTAATTTAAATTTTTAAGTGAACATTTGGTTGGTTTGCTTAGTTGAATTGTTTTTCTAAAATAAGTATGTTAAGGTTTAATTTTTTTACTTTATGGTATTATATCATGCCTCCATGTGCCGCAAATAATTTATTTTATATATGATAGCCTAATGACAATATATTTATGGGGTGTTCTAAGGGCATCCGGTATGGTGCATTGGTTTTAGCTGGCCATGTAAACTCTTTTAGAAAGCCACATCGTGGCTCCTTGTAAAAATATAACCACTCTTTTGGCCAGTATGATATTAGGAAATATAGTCCTCTATACATGGGATCCACTATTTTAAAAGAGAGAGAAAGAGAGAAAAATGGAGTGGGACCCATTTTCGATGGCAAAAGAGCTGTTACCTGTAGCTAGCTATATTGCTAGTAAACGTGTGAGGGCCGCTTATTGCCAGCCCCATACCGGGCATATTCGAGCAAGTGGTGTGGGCATACAAGCTTATCTATCTACTTTTTAAAAAGTAGAGTTGCCACATAAGTTAAAAAGTGATGATGTTGTATTCTATTTTTTTTTTATCCATATGTTCCATGGTGTGGAACCCAATTATCTCATTCTCTATTTATTATTTTATTAATTTAATTTAAAAATAAAATAAAAAATTTGAATTTGAATTTAATAATTTTTGTCTTCTTCCAAATGACTATATTTCAATTTTTATATAAACCACTCATTCTATTTTCTTTCAATTATGAAGTCCACTTCTTTGCATTCTCAAGTCCATTATATATTCTTTCAATTTCTATATAAATCACTCATTATATCTTTTTTCAATTCTATCTTCTTTCAATTATCAAGTCCACTTCTTTGCATTCTCAAGTCCATTCTCTATTCTTTGAGTCTTCATATTTCTTATACAAAAAATGGCTTCATCGTCACGAGATATACCCGTCTTCGAGTCTATTTCTCCATTAAATTCGTCAGATTCAGATGGGGAAGATATTTTTGAAATCCATCAAAAAAGGATGAACGATGTGAGGAGATTATTATCGATTGATAGGGTGCTCATCCTTAACCCTCAACTGATAGTAACCTGACCTCAAATCAATCTTCGAAAAGCAAGTGGCTCCTTTCAACTGAAATCCATCAAAAAAGGATGAACGATGTGAGGAGATCATTATCGAATGATAGGGTGCGGGCATTCTTTCAACCTCGTAAGAGAAAGTATATTAAACGTGATCGAGAGGAGGTAGCACAACGGCTATCCCGAAATTACTTTGCTGAAAATCCGATTTATCCACCATACATATTTCGTAGAAGGTTTCGAATGCAACGAGAGTTGTTTCTTCGTATTTTGAACAGTGTTACAACACATGACGAATGGTTCATCCAGAAACCCGATGCCCTCGGTCGTATGGGGTTCACTCCCATACAGAAGATGACTGCTGCCATCCGTATACTCGCATATGGAATTTCAGCTGATCTTTGTGACGAGTATATAAAGATTTCTAAGCGCATTGCGATCGAAAGCTTGAAGAGGTTTTGTGATGCTATAATTGCTGTGTATGCGGAGTAGTACCAACGCTCACCGAATGCAGACGACATTGCATGTCTGCTTCGAGAAGGGGTAGAGAGAGGTATTCCAGGTATGCTTGGCTCTATAGATTGTATGCATTGGGAATGGAAGAATTGCACCACAGCATGGCATGGCACGCACACGGGAAGAAGCCATAAACCTACCCTCATATTGGAGGC